TGGGTTATCAAGTGTTTTGGAAATTTTAAAGATACAAACAATGAATATCTCTGGCGAGGGGATTAAAAGAGGACGGGGGGCCTGAAGTTTTCTGTGTGTTAACATACTCAATTTGTTTGGCGCTCTTGGCCCACAATGTGATTACCTCTGTTACTGATGTTACTAGGATGCTCCCACACGTTTTGCTACTTGCGTTAGAATAACTAGCATAATGCTTTCGTCTGAATTATAACTATGGTTGAAAAGAAGATGATTTTCTTCTTATTGTCCTCTTCAACTGTTTTTGGTTAAGCATTTTGGGATATGTTCATAATTCAGGGATCTGAGAAGCTAGAAGGCTGAAATCTTACGGGGATGTTCCCCGTCCAAATAAGTGTTAGTGCACTGAAACCTATCCCCCGGGTGAGCATGGTGCCCGTGCCCGGCTTCCCCTCCCCCGCCAAAGCATTTTATGCAGCGTTGTGCTTGCTGAATGCTATTCTGTCAATCCTTCGTTATTGGACTGCATATATCTCCCGTTAACCCACCGCCTGTTCGATGTATGTGTGCCACCTCTTCGGAAATCGTCCGAGCGGTCGTTTTTTCCCTTGTGGGTACCACTAAATAACGCGCGAAATTTCATTAGTTGAGTGAAAAAAAAAGCAACAAACCGTAGTTGGCCGGCTTAGCGCATTGTTCCTTTCTTCCACGACGAGTTGACGAGATGGCTTTGGACTGCCTGGCTCGAACGATTGCACTTTGATAAGATCATCTGTAAGAAACATATGTAAATGGGAGAAAAAAGCACAGAGAGGGCGAAGAGGGGGACGGGGAGGGGGGACTGCACTTCCTTCCTTTCTTTCCTCCTTCATCTTCCTTCGGAAAGTCACATATTCGTTCAGGACATGGCGAGATGGGGCACTCTACTGATGATTCCCACCTCATTTCGCACCGACTCTGCCGTCTTTATTTACAGTTTAGGGATGAAACACAGACAGGACAACAGCTAATGCACACATACAGGCTCGCTTATCTGGGTATCTGAATTAGCACTCATTGTTTTCCCACAACTGTGCCCCCTTGCATTGGCTGGCCTACAGTGTCAAACAAACTTTCATAGTTTACATTTTTCAAAAAAAATTTCTAAAACACTTAGACTTATAATTCATTAATTTCACCCAAATTTCACTCGCCAAAATGGCATAAAAGATAAAAGCCATAAAAGGCCCAATCAAAAATGGATGGTCCAACTAGGGCGGCCGAAGAGGGTGAAATTGTCAAGTGGTTTTTTACGTTTGTTGACAGATCGAAACATATCTTCTGAAGTAACGGCCCGTACAAGTCAAGTAAAAAATACGAGTAGAAAGTACGGGACGGTCGAAATCCCAAAGTGATCAAGGTTTTTAAAAAAGCAGACCAACATGGCCGTCCCTTTTTAAACATTGTTTGGGGAGAAACAAGACCGATCACATACTAGAACTGGCCGTTGAATTGCGTTAACAAATCCAACATGAATGGGGTCGCAT